AAATATATAATAGTAATAATAATAATCCAGTCTAGGTTGATTTTTGTGGAGGATTCTCAAGTGTTTTTAATCCTATAATTATGGACAAGATCTCATTTCACTGGGGTTGTGTGTTTTTTTACATTATAGTAAGTTTGTACTTTTAAAAATAACACCAAAACATAGCATATTTTACATGAAATGTTGCAATATGCAATGTGATCTATTTCCAGGCTTAACCAAACTCAGCTAAATGTGGTAGTTTATTGTGCTTAGATCAGTGTTTACATTAAAATACTTCTTTTCCTATATGCCTTTCTTGTTATACCAGAGCCTCCATACAAAATAAATCCCTAATCTACTTTTCTTATTATGTTCGGCAACATTATGTAATATCAGACATTTCATTTCATTCCTAGTGTCCCAAATCTAAGGCCTGCTCACTTGCAGAAGGCTGGATAGCAAAAAATATATATCTTATTTTGATTGTTAATTTTAATTTATTTTATTTTATTTGTTATAACCATCACTCCATCAGACCCTGAATAACTGATGTCTGACAGCGAAATGTAGAAACTGATTCTGATGGATAATTAGATTTTCCATGAACATACATGTCTCTAGAATTAACAGGGTAATGCTCTAATTATTCATGCCAGTTTTGTTCAAGTCTGATTTCCTAAACTGATATACAAACTCTGATCCAAACTCAGGCTTTTTATGAAAAGAAGCTCAAGGTTATGTAGTTTTTTTATTTAAAGTTCAGTAAGCCCAATAAATATTAAATTCTGAATTTCAATTATTAGTTAAGTTACCTGAGATATGAGATAAAGTTTTGAATTCTGTGTGGGTGTATAGAAGAAATATTAATTGTGTATATGTAAGAAACATGGAGGATCCGGCATGATAATGATTAAGATACTACTGTACAGTGTACAACATATGCAAAAGAATCATGTGGTATGGCAAGCTGTGTTGATTATTCTCCTGCCATGACCCTTTGTTGGGAGATTAGGCAATGATATCATGGGGAAGCCTCATAGAATCAGCTCTATTCATGGGGTTTTATTATGATGCCACTGTGTGGAACTTAAAGATTAAAGGAAGCAGTAGCCATACTGCCAGCTAAGGGTATCCAAAAAATCTAGCCAACATTAAAATCAGTTTGATCAGTTTAAGATGCAGGATCATTATGGTAGTCAGTTAGGCATGTGTTGTGATTAGTATATAGAAAATGATTCTGTAAACTGAAGAGGGTTAGGGTTAGGACTGAGAAAGTAGAGCCAAACTAATCTGGGCAGAGCTGACTGAAATGGATTACATTAGCATCCTGGCCAAACCAGTTTTTGTCTGAGATCAAATGAAGACCAGAGAAAGAAGAAAATGAAAGGATAGGATTTGAAAAGTTACACCTCTTTTTTTTTAATGATAATGATGACTGCTAACTTATCACAATTTTGGCATGGTTTTGTATTTTGGAAATAATTTATTTATTCTCAAATTTGCTATACTATGACATACTATGTGGAATAGGGAAAGTTTTCCAAATCTCATGGCAGAATTCATGGACAAAGCTATTTCTAACTAAAAATAAATTACTATGAAGAAAAAAAAACATTTCTAGAAAAAATTGCTATCTTTACTAGTATTTAGAGTTTTGAAGATTTAGAACATGTTTCACTGTAAATTAATGCCCTCCATGCGTTACGTTTCTGTTAATCTTTTTTAGGTTAGAAATTATGAAAACCAAAGAGCAATACACTGAAGACACCTGATTAGGAAAGACTAAATATCCTATATAATAAATAAATGAAGATACTTTACAGATGATCTAAAATAGATTGAAACATCAGAATATATCTGAGTAGAAACATAAAGTTTGTGTCAATATTTATCTACACAAGCAGAGACCACAATTTTAATAGGAAATCATACCTCTTTGTGTCTGGCTTGCATAAAATCCACTTACATAGTGAGAACTATAAGCGTAATACATGTGATCATTCTAAAGATAGAAGTTGCAAATCACCTCTGTAAATATAACATATGGGCTGAGGAGTCCTATGTTCCACCTTGACAAGCACAACAAAAATTTAAAAATGTCATGAGTGTTTAAGATAAATATTTCTGTCCTCTGATTTATTCACATAGTAATGATTAAAAAGCAAATATAGATTGCTATGCAACATCAAAGAAGAAAGTATTGTAGAAAGCAAACAAGAAATAGGAGGAGGAACTGAGAATTATCACTGTGGCACTCTGAATATTTATTTCTAAGTAATTCCACTAAGATCAAATGTTTTGAATTCAATTCTCTCTTACTAAGTTGAAATTGACAGAGTTCAGTTAACTTGCTCACAGATTTCAGTGTGGAAATACAATGTATATAATTTCTGATCCAACCTTCTCTATCAGAATAAGTGTGCTAAAAGGATAATAGATTAAATTTTTATTCCCTGCTTTGCATTTTTGTGAGGCAATTAAAAAAAAACCCATCATCCTGTACCAATAATATCTCATTCAAACAAAAAAATATAAGCAGGGTTTATGCACTTGTGCTTATATAGTAGTTTGAAGTGTTTAGTTAAATTTTCTACTAAAGTATAAATCACCTAAAGAATTTTATAAAGCTGGTGCTGTCTGATTAATAGTAGTATTCATATATATCTTAGTAAAACAGCTGGATTTTCCCACAATAGTCTAAACTTCACCTAACCTCATTTCAGCAAAGTCTAGTATGGACTGTGACAATTCATGTATCTTCAGAAATTACTGTTTTAAGCAATTTTGGGTGAAAAATATGGCCCACAACAATATTGCCTTTTAAGTTTATTTATTTCAGAATCATTTTGACAGATGGTCAATCTATAATGAATAATGAGTTTCAAGCTATAATGAGTGTTATACTTTCAGAAGAAGCTTGTGTAGATATTAATATTCTATTAAACACAATCAGAGAAATAATAAATATCTTAGAAGGTGGGAAAATGATGTTTAAAGTATTTTCATACATAAAGCAAAGCATTCTTCAGTTTCTTCACAACCAGAAATAAAGGGAGATATTTCACTTTTTTTTGTTTTTGTGCATCTATTTTTAATTAACTCTTGACAACCCAGATGATACACAATTAAGAGAATGATTAGTTATAATATCTTTGATAGTATTTTAAGGTTTGATTTCATGGAATAAAAGGTGCAGCTAGGCTGTTTAATTTTACTTTACGTAGTGACTTCTTTGGAAATCGTCTTCTTATAAGGCTTTTTCCTAGTTTGACGGTGAACTAACTTTATACTGTTGGTTTTGTAAGCATGGTTGGATATGCAAACTTTACAGTTAAATATGCAAAAAGATTGTCATGGGAGTCTCTATTAGATCCCAAACCAGAGGCTAGAAGAAGGGAAAGGGCAGAGGTCCAGTTTAAAGAAGCATTGTGTAAGTGCACCTCACAAGTACTTGAACTTTTGCTTTGGGACTCCAGTCAGTAAAGTTCTTTGTGCCTGTTTCACAACCTTATGGGTGTAAGGATGCAACATATTTTCAGGGATCCTACCCAGATCCAGAAAATAGATCTTAATATGCATTTAGTTTGCAAGTAAACTCAATAGAAGCAATCCAGTGCTAAACATACATAAATGTTCACAATGCTTAATAGTATTTTTTTGGTGAAAGTCAGTTAGTCGATTAATTTACTGGAAGAAAGATTCTTTTAAAAAAACATTAAAATGGAAAAAAACTCACATAATAATAGAGAAGCAACACCACCTTGATTGAGAAAAATAGAAATAGTATCTGATTTCTGCAGTAAACATAATATAAATGTTATGAGAAATAACTTTAAAATCATATTTCCTTATTTTGTACAAATCAAAGCTGGAAAACTAAATAAGATACTAAACAGGATTTTATATGAACAATTTAAGTTAATTGTTAATACAGTATGTAAAGTACAGACACTGTACATACATATTAAACAACTGATTGTAGACATCTATAACTATAAACAAAACCTCTATTAATATATTCTAGTTTTCTCACCTACATCATTTTCTTCCATTATTGAATGATAAATTACAGAGCTATTATCTTAATAACAAAACTTTAAAAGTTGCAGTAATCTGAAATACTTGTCTCTCTTTCTGACCTAATAGATGCAGGACCATCATTTGATTGCCATACATAAATAAATATTAAAAAATCCAAAGTCTATCAAATCACTTTTCAAAATCTATAAATGCAACTTTCCACTGTGGTTCCTATATAATCATTGATTAAACATTATTTTAAAATACGTTTTCTGACTGTCATGAATACTTTTTTTTATGATTCCCAGAGTCTGATCTACACAGACTGTATTTTTGTTATGAAACTAGGGTTGTCCACAAAAGATAGAATTATTTTCTTTACTACTGAATACAAACTGGACTCATAGTTAAATAATAAGGAATCTGAACCTCTCAAACAAGAGCCAGAGTCATCATCAGAGTGTAAATGTTTTACAGAAATATTATGTGTACAGCATTGTCTCTTTGTGACAGTATGACTAGCCAAGAAAGTAGGATCAAACCATCCATGATTATTTTGAAAGCAAATTGGGGCATCCAACTCACCAGGACTATTTTGCCTTCGTGAGCTCTTTTTTAAGAATTTGGCTTGAAATATGTACAGTTTCAGATATCAGAGTTTTCATTCTCTTGATTAGCAGAAAGATTCATTATAAATTAAAAATATATAAACGCTGTAGCAGGCATGTGATGCGGTTGTGTAGAAGAAATAGCATTAAACACAAATATATTCCGTAAACAAAACATTTAGGCACCTTTACAATATCATGAGCAAAGTCAGCTGAAAGATGTATGTCTATACTAAAGTCAAGGATATGATTCTAAGATTATGGAACTGGAAAGTTTTTCAGCCAGTGCAGAAGGTGAGATAACCTCTGGCTGTCCAAAGAAAAATGATAAGCCATATACGATTACAGCAGTTATTTTTGTTTGATCTTATCATAAAAATCCACACTTACCAAGCAAATGCACATTATGCAAGGGTTGTCTGTAATAGATGGGATCTGTATAATTTCTCCCTCTTTCTCACATTTTGCAACAGAACCTATATGGAAAAATTTAAAAATCAATATTACTTCCTCGCTTTGCCTGTCCAGCAGCCATCTGCACTTTGCCAAAAAACCATCAGTGCACAAGACTGCAACAAATGCTGCAGTCATATAATTATGGAAATAGGCCCTACTGAAATGAGCAGGAATTACTTCTTATTCATTATATTATTCCTTTACTTATATCAACAGTATATGTTGGTTAAGCTACTACAGCACTTTTAATGTTATTTCAAGATGAACAACGTACCTGTCCTAAAAATTTAAAGACACCAACAGCACAGTAGAGATAACTATTTTTCCATAACCAACAAGCACTTTTAAATTAAATGATGATAAATATGTGTCTAATGAGATATGTTTTTATTCCCACAAAGGCTTTGCTAGCTCTGCATTTTAAAACTCAAAAATTCTAAATATAATTTAGGAAAACTGTAGATCAGATATTTCTATGGACATAAATAGATGAACATCTTATCTAATTTGGAGCAGAACATGATATGCTAGTCTTTCTTTGCCAATATATTAAACTAATCAAATTAATTTGATTAGCAAGTTATATATAAATGCACATTCCCAAATTTTAAAAAATGCCAACTGCTATTTTGGCAAATGCAGCGCTCTACTTTTCACAATGTCTAGAACTGGAATGTTTTTGCACCAAGTATCAGGCAAATGTATGCTTCAGGGCAGCGTGTGTGCACACACGAGCAGGCATGTGTGCATCTTAAATCTGTCACCTGCTTGAACAAAATGTTATTTAACATAGTGTGCAATTTTTCTGACATGCAATGTGTAATCTTTAAATTCATAAACTCTGCTGGTGCAAGTTTTCAGGATGCTAGGAAAGCAACACATTCCTCCCAATGCAATTTTAGCCAAGTAGGCTGATGATCAACACTCTAGATTCCAAGCACATGTGGCAGAGTCACCAAGTGACTCCATGATGCTTGGCACCAAAAGCACATTTGACATTTAAAAGAGGATTACCTCCAAATCGGGTTAGCTGATTACAATCATACTTGTTTAATAACAGGGTTTCAAAAAAATCAAGAGACAACCTTAGTAAACAGTTTGTCTTTTTTAGAACATTAATTTATTCATATCAGAAAACCGCTACTAATCATAAACCGGTCTATTGCTACACATGCTCGTCTCCATGAGTGTATACAACCTCGTTGCCCCTCGGACTGAAAATCAGTGCCTCACATAATTTCTTTGCGCGCAACGTTTGCAGGCTTGGGTGGAAAGCGCGTGCGGCTTCCCGCTTTCCCCCGGTATCCCTGATGTTTTCCTTACCTGTCAGGAAGGAAGACGCTAGCGTCACGGGGAGTCCAAGGTGGTGCAGCCACAGCCAGCCGACAAAAACTAGCCCTGGAGAGCTGAGCAAGGGAGCCGCCGCCCAGGAGCTGCACAAGAGCCAGAGCATCGTCCTCAGAGCTCGGGTTCTTGAGTGACCTAGAGCTCGGGAGAGCGTGAGGCGATTGCAGGATCACGGCGGTGGCGATCCGGCCAGGAAGTTGTTGCTGGGAATGCAGAGAAGCGGGGAAACAGAGCGGGATTAAGAGCTGGTGGGAGGGTTTCTCGCGGTGCTGCTCCTGCCGCCGTTTTCGGGCCGAGCTTTGAACCGCTCTCCTGCTCACCGACCCCTCCTGGATGGGATATGGGTGGGCGGGGAGGGTGGGGGAGACGCCAGGCTGGGCGGGGCCGACCGTCTGCTTTCCTGCCTGCCTGCCTTTGCCTGCCGCATGAGGGACCCCTGCCTAGTGTGCTGACAGGAGCTTCCTGCTGCTACCGCCGCTGACTGTTCTGCTCCGACTGTAACCAGCGCCGCAGCCTTCTGGCCAGACATTGGTGAGCCGCGAACCATCAGTCCCTTTGAGGGAGAGAGTAGGAGAACGGGGAAAGGCGCCGGCACTTGGAGCTGTTAGCAATTGTTGTGTTGTCTGGAGGAAAAGTCAAAACTCGCAGCTTCAGCTTCGCCCGGCTGCCCTAGCCACGTCTTTTGACTTTTTATTTTCTTTTTGGATCTGAGATCCGTCCAAATCTTAATAAATTCGGGCGGAGAAATATTGAAAGAAAAATATCGGGGACCTGCAGTAAGGATTATTATTTTTTTGCCTGCGAAAAAACTGTCTCGTTCTCATTACTGTATCATTTTCAAATCGTACCGCGACCAAGTTGCGCTCTCTACCAACAGAAGGGGTGGTGGTGCGGGAAATCAGCAGAGAAAGCTTTCACAGAGTTGTGAGGAGTTCCAATGTGAGTACACTTTGTTTCTTTAGATAAAGGAAAAGGGGGGGTGTTAATGGCATATAGTCGGTTATACAATTTTTTGGTTAGAGGCATTATGTCAGCACTTCTTCATTAGATAATCAGGAAAGAAAACCACAAGACTCCATTGATAGAAATCAAGTGTACTTTTACTAATTATAGATGAGCAGAAGCGTAGCAAAGCGAAGTCTGATTATTTAGGCGCGAAAGCAAAAAATATATTGGATAATTCATTCCCCT